AGAAGTCATTATACTAATTTTTTTTGTGTGTGTTGGAGTCTCACTCTTGTTGCCCAGGCTGGAGTGCAATGGCATGCTCACGGCCACCCCAACGTCAACCTGCTGGGCTCTGGCGATCCTTCCACCTCAGCCTTCTAGGTAGCTGGAACTATAGGCACACGCTACCATGCCTGGCTAATTTTTTCATTTATTGTAGAGACGAGGTCTCGCTAAGTTCCCCGGACTGGTGTTGAATCCATGGGTCAGGTAATCCACTCGCCTTGGCCTCCCACAGTGCTGAGATTACAGGATGAGCTACTGAGCCTGGCCATTATACTACTTTTTAAAATGCATCTTTGAAAACTTCCATAAGTTAAAAAAGAAAAAAACTAGTTTGGCCAAGCACTCCTGCTAGTTATTATTATTATTTTTAAGTTGGCTGAGCTATATAAAGTAGTCTGATCAATTAATTTTTAAACTTATGCTTTTTAACATTGCATGAATCTTAGAGCTAATATGCATGTGATCTAGAAACAATAATTAACATTTGCTGAGAGCTCACTGAGTACAAGAAACTTTTCCAAGTTAAAAAATATCCCCTATGAAGTAAGTACCGCAGAACATGTTGCCCTTTGAGGAAGGACTTGAAATGTCCACTGGTGGGAGTGCTGTTAGCAGATATCCCTTCACTAATTGTCTAGGCTAAGATGGTCACTGCCCAAGGACATGCCTGTCTCAGGGTGGCCCACAGATGCAGGAGGACTATAAAGGCCTGGCTATTTTGGCAAGTGCAGAACAACTCTGATGGACCATTTTAGTCTCAGAGTTCCTCAGGTTGGTCAAGGCTATCTGGTACCTGCTTTGCTTTTGACTTCTCCCTTTACCCGATCTTGCTTCCTTCTTGCCTTCCACAGGACTTGCTTCCAAGGGTGGTCCCCAGCAAATATCATATTCACTGGTCTCCAGCTCAGATCGGCGTCCAGAGGACTTAATATGTGACAATCATTGCCACCACTAGCTCCTGCCCCATTTTACAACTGGGAAGACTGAGGAACAGGGAGATCACATAACTTTACCAAAATTACACAAGTAGTAAGTGGTTCAAATCCAGACAGGGTGTTTCTAAAGCCTGAGCTTTTAGCTACAAATCTAAACTTTTTCCAATGACAGGACTAAGAATCCTACTATTTGGGTTCAATTGCAATCCTGCAATATATTTAACTTTGTGGCTTTGGTTAAAGTACTTGGACATTCTGAGCTTCAATTTCCTTTTCTGCAAAATTGAGTAAACAATTCTTTATCCAAAAGGTCAATTTGATGATTAAATTAGATAATATACATAAAAGCAGCTGGCATGTAGAAGGCACTCAAGAGAGCTGAGTAGGATAATTCTTACTGTCAGGAGCAATAAAAAAGACCAGAATTTCTAGTTGTGTTATTTTACATTTATGAAGCAAATTTTCACAAGTATATAGTCCTGATTCACTATTTCTAAAATAGATATGGGCTGAAAATATTAAATACTCAACAAAAATGCATGATATAAGCCGGGCTCGGTGGCTCAGCCTGTAATCCCATGCCTTTGGGAGGCTGAGGTGAGTGGATTGCCTTACCCCGTGGGTTCAAGACCCGCCTGGGCAACTTGGCGAGACCTCATCTCTACAATAAACCAAAATGAGCCGGGCGTGGTAGCATGCACCTGTAGTTCCAGCTACTTGGAAGGCTGAGGTGGAAGGATTGCCGGAGCCCAGCAGGTCAAGGCTGCGGTGGCCGGGAGTGGCCACTGCACTCCAGTCTGGGCTACAGAGTGAGACTCCAACTCAAAAAAAAAAAAAAAAAAAAAAGCATGATATAGTGACATATCTTCCAATTTCCTCCGATTCAGATTTTGCCAGCAGCTAAATGTTTAAAAATATTACGTCTTGACAAAGTTTTAACACTCAGTGTCATAAAGATGTCAATCAGTATTCATCCACTCACACTTCTTTCTAAAAAATAGCTTTGCCTATAGGACCCAATGTCTAGGTTGTCATGTTTTTGTACCATTTTACTCCAACCAGTAGTAGGAAGAGTTGTCTCTTGACCAGGAAGATAAACAATTCTAAATTCTAAATGTAAATGTCTCTAATAGTGTGGTCTCAGAATACATATTGCAAAAATTGAAAGAGGAAAAGCAGAGAAATTCACAGCCATAGGCAAAGATTAGAACACATCTCTCAACAACTGGTAGATCATAAGTCATTTAGGTTAGAAACGCATAAGAAAAAGATAACTAGAAAATTCTGGTATTTTAGAAAATTATGAAATCTACTTCTAAATAACTCATAGGTTAAAAATGTAATCATAGTAAAAAACTGAAAATATTCTGAAATAAATGATAAAGAAATAAACATTGTAAACAGATAACCAAGCATAACATTAAAAATATCAAATATTTAGAAATACATAGGATAAAAGTATACAAGACTTGCCTATACATAAAATTATTGAGAGAAATTAAAGAAGATATATTTAATGTGGGGAGAAATATATTATATTCATGGATTTTAAGACTTATTGAAACTCCAATCAAAATCCCACATTTTCTGCGTATGTGTTTGTGTAACTTGACAAATTGAAGCAAAATATGCATAGAAACATATGGATCAAAAATAACTAAAATGCTTTACCAGATTTAAAAAATCTTATAAAATTTAATGTCATTACAACGCTATTTATAATATATATAAAATTTAAGGCTAAATAATTAAGATAATTCTAAAAGTGTGATACTGGCACAAGGATAAACAGATTAACGAGTCCAGAAACAATGTCATAAGGACACTTGATTTATGACAAAAGTAGTACTGTAAAGTATTGGAAGGAATAAAGCACCAGAAAAAAAGTATGAGGGAAGAAATGATCTTTGTTTTTTGTTTGTTTTTGTTCATTGCTTAGACAAGTGAATAGCGATAGTAAGAAAAAACTTATTCCCTATATCATATAATATTAAATATTAATATTCAATGGAAAACAGTGAATCTTTATTAGACAGTACAGGAAAATATCTTTATGACTTTGGGGTACAGAAATATTTTTTAAGCAGGATACAAAAAATACCATAAAGAAAAAGACTAATAAATTAGGACCCTCTGCCAAAAGACACCATTAAGACACCATTAAGAGAATGAAAAAGCATGCCACATAATAGAAGACTATAACTGTGTATAAGTGATAAAGAACTCATATCTGGCAAATGTTAAAAATACCTACAAATCAGTCAATCAACTAATCAATCAAACAGACACATAGAAAAATGGGAGAAAGTCACTTCAAAAAAGATATCCAAATGGCTAATATAAGTATGAAATGATTTTCAATCTCATTAACCATCAAGAAAATGTAAATTAAAAACACACAACAATAAATACACCTATCAGAATGGCTGAAATGAAAGACCAACAATATCAATGTGGGCAAGAATGTGGAGAAACATAAATTTTCCTACAATGCTCTGGGGCAGGGAGATTAGAAACCGGTACAATTGCTTAGTAAAATAGTTTGCCATAGCCACTGAGGTTGGAGATACACATACCAATTCCACTCCAGGAAGTTTCATGTACATGTACATCATGAGACACACACAAGAATGTTCACTGCAGCATTACTATGAACAGCCCCCAAAAAGAAGGAATCCAAATATCTATCAATAGTATTCTGGATAAATTGTGGTATCATTATATAATAAAATATTACATTTAAATGAAAATGAATTGACTATAGCTAAGTGGAACAACATGGATGAATGTCATAAGCATAATGCTGAGTCTAAATAGACAGACACAAAGAAATGCAGACCTTATGATTTATTTCACATCAAGTTCGAAAGTAGGCAAACCTAAAATGTGGTGTTTAAGGATATGCAGTTGATAAAAACAAAGAAAACAAGGACTAATTCCTTAGAAGCCACTATAGTGGTTACCTTTTGGAAAGAGAGAAGGAGTTACAATTTAGGAAGGTCAAGGAGGCTCCCAAAGTCCTGGCAATGTTCTATTTTTTATATGGGTGATGGTGACATGGGTGCTTGATAATCACTCATTAAGCTGTACGTTTATGTACTTTTCTATATGTGTACCACATGTCACCATAAGATTTTTAAAATGCAGAGGAGACAAACCCAGCAGGAAACACCACTCCCTCCCCAATAGTTTCCAGGCTCAGTAAAAATAAAAACTCTGAATCTGGTTTCAGGTTAAGTCTTCTACCCTTTTGTACTGAAAAGCTCCGGGGTATGGGTCATCAGCAGTTATACTAACTTTTTTTTTTTTTGAGTTGGAGTCTCACTCTGTCGCCCAGACTGGAGTGCAGTGGCCACTCCTGGCCACCGCAACCTCGACCTGCTGGGCTCTGGCGATCCTTCCGCCTCAGCCTTCCAAGTAGCCGGAATTACAGGCGCGTGCTACCACGCCCAGTTAATTTTTTGATTTATTGTAGAGATGAGGTCTCGCTGCCCAGGCGGGTCTCAAACCCGCGGGCTCAGGCAATCCACTCACCTCAGCCTATACTAACTTTTTAATGAAGTTAGACAAGAGCCAGATACTAGCCCACTGTTTTCCTCATGTTGTGAGAGTCACACTTTGAGCTCTGAATGATTCCAAAGAAGCCCACCACTTACTTGACTTGGTAATGGGCAGACAACTCACCTTTTACTTAATTGAGCTTGTGCTGACAACACAGTATCTCCAAATAAATACTCTTCACAAAATTATCTCTTTGATCCACAAAAACCCAACTCATATCCTTGATGTGGTGAAACATGTCAATAAACAACTATTATAACACCATGTCAAATACAATAATAACAAATAGTGACAAATGGCTAAGTACTATGACAATAACAAATGGTATATGGGAAATACTGAACTGAGAGAAAAGAATTACTGCACAACGGGTTTGTTATTCCACCCCAGAAAGCAAGAGATTCAAATAAAATAGGTGAATACTATGTCTTGAAGAACTAGCTAGGACAAGAGGTCTCTTACCTGTATATGAGGTTTAGTTAGTTCTTGTGTGTAGTAGCATGGTTTATCTGTCATCTTTATGGGAAATCCACACATATGAGTCAGTTTAGATTTTAAATCTGAAAGAAAACTTTTCAACACACCTTCCAAATCTACCCTTGGAAAAAATTGTATGGGCTGACTTCTGATGCAACTGAGAGGATATGTGAACAACGTTAAAGAACAATGTCTAATTTTTTATACACAAGAGATCCATGGGATTTTCAAAAGTATTAAAACAGGAATGCTGAAAAAGGCACACATAAGTAAATTGTATTGTTTATATTGCTTATCTGATACTATCCACAGCTGAAAAGCATACTTTCTCATGGGGAGCTACATTCCTATATTCTAACACAATCAAGACAATTCATTATATTCTTATTATGGCTTTATAAATGCAAGGGCCAACTAAGATATTCCAAATCAACTTCCAAAAGCAGTTATTTGAGAATAGCAGTTAAATTTTCTGATGAAAAACAGTCTGAAGATTTGGAATAAAATCTTGGCACCAAATGAAAGGGAATCAATGATATATGTCATATTTACTATTTTACTATTAAGATTTGGGTTAGAAGATTAAATTTGCTATTAAGATTTTGGGTAGAATTCAGAAAGAACACACTTGGTTCTCCTTCTTCCATTTTTAAACCCCAGTATGTCAGAATACAAACAGATAAGAATGTGAAACCAGTACTAATTAAGATTTGAGAGTCCACCTGAGTACTTGTGCTCTTTTTGTGTGTAGATTTTTTGAAATATTGTTAAGAAAGCTTTTCTTTTAAGTCAATGGGGCACATTAAGTGCAAGTCAAGTTCTCTAAATTTTACTTGTAAAATTAGATAATCTCCCCAAAAGAAAAATCTTTGTTAAACAACTGATTGCTTTAATTTAACCTTTTCAATAATATCTAAAGTGACACTGGAGGGAGCTCTTGTCTAAGGAGAATCATAACATCCTAACTTTCTATTAGGAAACATGTAAACATTTTTTTCTGCCTACTCTAATTTTTTTCCCTCTAAATTATTGAAATAGTGTTTAAGGAAAAAAAAAAACTATCCTTATTAAGTTGATCCTCAAATAAAAATAGGAGGAAATTCTGAGCAAAACAAAAAACACTTGTGCAGATAAGAAGTAGAGGGAAAGTACTGCAGCCTCATTTAGACATAGAGAAATTTGAAAATGATGACGACACGGGGGTGGGAGCAAGATTGCATAAGGTGAGCAGAGAGCATCTGTTACAACTGGTGCATAAAGGATATGTGAAGGTCCCTTCTCCGATCATTTTGAAATAGATGCTGCAGTATATTTTAGTATTTTCACAATCTTCTGGAAGTTTATAGCCATACTAAAAAGCACAAAATTAAAAACATCTTGGAGAAAGCTGAACTTAGGTTATGCTATAAGAAAAAAATCAAATAATTTCTAATGTAATATATATTTCCATTCCTTACCATGTCATCCCAATATACCTGGAGATCTTCATATGAGTGAAAAGGACAGTGAGGAGGCATGGTATGAAGAATACTTATAATCTGTCCCATTTTCATACTATGAAAAATGAGAATTGGTAAGACATTAAGAGTCAATGTTCAAATATAGTTTAATAAGTTTACTATGTGTTTTAGAAAATGTTCAAAAAGTCTAGCCACTATCTTACTAGGCTTATATAAGTAATAAACTAAATATCTGCTTCTATTTCAAACACATTGTACAAACCCTTTTTATTTTGTTTTAATTGACAAATAAAAATTATACATATTTATTGTGTATGACATGCTGGTTTGAAATACGTATACACTGTGAAATGGTTAAATCAAGCTAATTTATATACACATTACACACTTTTTTGGTGTATGTTGAGAGCACTTAAAAGTTTTTGGGATTTTTAATAATACATGCTATTAACTATAGTCACCATGTTGTACAATAGATCTCTTGAATTTATCCCTCCTAACTGAAAGTTTTAATCCTTTGACCAACATCTCCCTAATCCACCTCTTCAACCCCAAACACCCAGCCCCTACTAATCACAGTTCAACTTTTTTAGATTCCACATATAAGCAAGATTGTATGGTGTTCATCTTTCTGTGCTTGGCTTATTTCACTTAGCACAATGCCCTTTAGTTTCATCCATGTTGTCACAAATGAGAGGATTTCCTTTTTTTTAAAGGCTGACTACTATTCTCTTGTGTATACTCCATTGTGTGTATATGCCACATTTTCTGTACCCATTTATCCGCTGAGGTATACTTAGGCCGATTCCTTATCTTGGCTGTGGTGAATAATGCTGAAATAAACATGAGGGTACAGATATCTCTTTGACATATTGATTTCATTTCCTTTGGTTATATACTCAGTAGTGAGACTGCTAGATCATATGGTAGCTCTAGTTTTAATTTTTTGAGGAATCACATTTTTTTTTCCATAACGACTGTACTAATTTATATTTCTACCAACAGTATGCAACTGTTTCCTTTTCTCCACATCCTCACCAATACTTGTTATTGTTGTCTTTTGATAATAGCCATTCTATCAGGTGTGAGGTGATCTCTCATTGTTATTTTAATCTGCATTTCCGTAATGATTAGTGTTGTTGAGCATTTTTTTTCATATACTTGTAGGCCATTCTTATGTCTTCTTTTGAGAAATGTCTATTCAGGTCCTTTACCCATTTTAAAATCAGGTTATGTGCTTTTTTGCTGTTGAGTCATTTCAGTTCATTATGGATATTACCCCTCTATCAGATGTATGGTTTACAAATTATTTTCTCTTTTTCTGCAGGTTGTCTCTTCACTCTGTTGACTGTTTCCTTTGCCATAACAAATGTTTTTAATTTGATATAATTCCATTTATCTATTTTTGCTTTTGTTGCCTACACTTTTGGGGTTACATCCAAAGACACTGCCCAGATCAATGTCATTGGAGCCTTCCTCCTGTGTTTTCTTCTGTTGTTTTACATTTATTTAAGTCTTTAATCCATCTTAAATTGATTTTTATTTATGGTGTGAGATACACGGCCAGTTTCATTCTTCTGTATGTGAATATCTAGTTTTCCCAATATCATTTATTGAAAAGACCATCCTTTCTTTGCACATTTGTTGAAAATCAATTGACCATAAAGGTGTGGATTTGTTTCTGGGCTTTCTATTCTGTTCCATTGGTTTATGTGCCTATTTTTATGTTAGTACTAGACTGTTTTGATTATTATAGCTTTGTAGTATAGTTTGAAATAAGGGAATATGATGCCTCCAGTTTTATTATTTTTGCTCAGGATTGCTTTGGGTATTAGGGGTCTTTTTTGGTTCCATGTGAATAATTTTTTCTATTTCTGTGAAAAAAGTCATTGTAATTTTTAGGAATTGCATGGAATCTGTAGATTGGGTATAATATGGACCCTTTAATAATATTAACTCTTCTAATCTATGAACACAGGATATCTATTTGTACTTTCTTCAAATTGATTCATCAGTGTTTTATACTTTTCAGTGTATACATTTTCCACCTGCTTTGTTAAATTTATATCTAAGTATTTTTTTTGTAACTATTGTGAATTAAATTGTTTTCTTGATTTATTTTTCAGACAATGTGTTGTTAGTGTAGAGAAACGCTACTGTTTTTGTGTGTTGATTTTGTATGCTACAACTTTATTTAATGTGTTTCTTAGTTTCTACTGTTTTTTGGTAGGGTTTTCTGTATATAAGATCATGTCGTCTGCAAACAGGGATGATTTCACTTCTTCCTGTACAAGTTGAATGCCTTATATTTCTTCCTCTTGCCAAATTGCTCCAATTAGGATTTCCAGTACTATGTTAAATAGAAGTGGATACAGTACTTGTCTTGCTCCTGATCTTGTTTTCTTTTTTGAGTTGGAGTCTCACTCTGTCGCCTAGACTGGAGTGCAGTGGCCGCTCCCGGCCACTGCAACCTCAACCCACTGGGCTCCGGCGATCCTTCCACCTCAGCCTTCTGAGTAGCCGGAATTACAGGCATGCACTACCATGCCCAGCTGATTTTTTGATTTATTGTAGAGATGAGGTCTAGCCAAGTTGCCCAGGCGGGTCTCGAACCCTCAGGCTCAGGCAATCCACTCACTTCAGCCTCCCAAAGCACAAGATTACAGGCTGAGCCACTGAGCCCGGCTGTTCCTGATCTTAGAGAAAAAAGTTTTACATTTTTTACTTTTGAGTATGATGTTAGTTGTGGGTTTGTCATATATAGACTTCATTTGTAAAGATCTTAACAACTAGAATTATTAGAAAAAAATGAAGTTAATTTTTGCAAACAGTGCATCAATTATAAATACAAAATAATGATTAATAAATTTTTGTCAGTCAAAGGTATGCCTAGTAATTGTTAGACTTCAGAGAAAAGTCTGTTAGGAGTTAAATGAATTAGCATCAAATCTATGTCGTTGATCTATCTCTCCCCTGCTTCAGTGACTGGTTATGTGTATGCTACTAAAGTTAATTTTCCTAAGCAAGTTAAAATTCCATTGCAATAGTCCTGCTTATATTAGTAACAAATCATTTTTTTCCAATGATAGTACAGACTTAAAACTCAGCTTGTTTCAAATTATAATCAGTCATTAAATATCAGGTACAAGTTTATATGGTTTCATTAATGTTATTATAATAGTTGTTGTCATTTTACAATGAGAAATCTAGAAATATTGTTTTTCAAAGCTAGATCTAATAAAAATGTGAATGTATGGTAAAATTATTTTAGTAATTTAATGAATAAAAATGTATGGCCTTAGTAAGTATGACAATATTCTTTCAACATTTTTAAAATAAGTTATCTCATGCTAGTTTATTTGGGGACTCAATTTTCACTCCTTAATAGATTGCACATATTACTCATATGCTTCTTCACTCATTAGTTCATCTAATTCTGAAGGATTACTTGGTGTCATCTTGATCAGCCAACCGTCTTCATAAAAAGATGTGTTGACAAGTTCTGTATTTTCTGCAGATCTTAATCATAGTTCCTTCTCCTTATAAAGGAGAATAGAGTTCATCAGCAGCTTTCATGCTCTCCAATGCACCAAAATCATCTAGTTTGTTCAATTTTTCCCAATTTCACGCAAACTATTAAACAACGTCTCCCAAAGCTTCTGGTACAAAATTGCTCATTTCCACTGTTCCAATACTGTCTCCTATCATTCTCTAGTCATGTTTCTCTGTGAATTTACACACCAAGAGCAGGGCTGGTCTTGTATGCAGCACGAAGATGGCACTGGCCCTCAGCTGCCAGGGCCATGGTGCACAGGGCCCTAAAGTCATGTGCAGGTTGCAGACTTGAACAGCACTATGCTCTCAGTCAATACTTTTTTAAAAGTTACAATTCAGTTTTTAAAATTCACCAAAATGGTTTAGACATTTGCACATATCAAGGTTAAAAAGCAAAATAAGAGAAAATTACTATATTTTGAGCCTACTCTAAATACTACAAATTGCAATCTCACCTTGGCAAAACGTAGCACCAGTTGCTTAAAATGGAATGTTTCTCAATGACAGCATTCTTGTTAGTGTAAAAATCCTTTATAATACTCTGAGAAATATCAAATTCTTTTAGCTTTTAATAGAAATAAAATTTAAATGCATAAGTCCTCAAAGAATTTGGCAAAGAAAAAGAAACATTAAAAAAATATATGTTACATTCACACACATATATACACATTATATGTTTTAAAGTCTATAAAGTTTTAAAGACTTAAGTTACACTGAATCATTCATAACCACTTTGCATGTCATAAATGTTGCAGCTCACTCTACTTTTCCTCTTTACAATTTATGAAGTATTTAATACTTTTCCTCTTAACCTCCAAAACAAAACTACTTTGTACTTATTTCAACTGGTTTTCAGTTTTTTTATTACATTAATTTGTAGGTGGTTGAATTCCTTCCAAAGTAAGGTATTTACATTTTATAAGGATAGCTTCTTACATTATTTTTTTCATTTCTTTTTTTTTTTTAATAGAGTATGAGTGAGGGTGTTATACTTCTATCTGGTCTTTTAGAGGGTAGAAGATAGAGTGAATGCTCCTTCCTCCTTTTAGTTTCCCTCCCCACCTCCTAGAACATTTTCTTCCTTGTTTCTTGGGTTCCCAACCTATTGGGCATTTTAGCTTGTGTTTACTAACAAGAATTTGCCAACTACACTTCTTTCACTCGGGAAGTCTTCCTGGGAGGCATCTTCTCACAGTTTAGTCAAAGATACATAGTGACCTCAAGGGAGGTGAAAAAATAAAAGTATTAATGGGTGAAAGGACACTAATCAAGGTTAGTGAGACCGGTTCACAATCCTTCATTCCCTTTTTAGCCTATCACCACAGCATCTTTTGAGAAGCAATGTTCTAACTTCACTCCCAACTACTTTTCAAGAAACTTCAACTGAACTGGCCAACTTCTTGTTGCCCAGATAAATTCTTAGCATTTTAACAAAATATTTGCTTAAATCATTGCTCCCACTCTGATTTATCTACTCCTACCAATAAGAGCCCGTTTCCTTTATGTCCAATGACTAAACCTTTGCTGAATTATATGGCATTCATTAAGACTAATAAAAATGGAGGTGAAGGGAACAGCATAAAAACATGACTGCAGGAAAAGAAAGATAAGTTATGCTGTGGTTATGCTGTGAGGTAAAAAAGCAGGGACACAATGAATAAGAATACATATTTTCCTTCACACAAGCTATAAATCTCATGCTGTGATGTACTGCGCTTAAGAGATCAACTGCCTAAACTGTGTGCTGAAAAGATGGCTACGGAAGGGATGGATATGAATGTCAGAAAACACTGGTTGCAGAGGGATGAATAAAATGAGAGAAAACACAACCTAAAACTGAATTCAAAGAAGGGAAGTATTAGGTTTAAATGTTTGTGATTTATGGGTTGTCATATATGCCTAATTACACAGCTTAAGTGTATATCCTTCTGGGTATTTACTACACTATTAAAAAACTCAAGTCAATTGCTGCAGGGCTCAAACTACTCTGTTCACCACATACTCCAAAAGACTGTGAACCCTTTGTATTTATTTACTTAGCAAATGTTTATAAAGTATCCTTAAGTGACAAAAACCACACTGAAAAGCAGGTACTCAATAAATATTACTCCTTCCTATAAAGCCAATCTAGTTTAATTTTCTCTAAGTAATGCTGAGATACTTAGGTTGGGGACCTATGTTTTGGAAAATGAACTCTGTCGAACTGTGAGGAAACGTTAGAAAACAAACTAGAAAGGGAATGACCGGTAACAAGAAGGCCCATATGGAGACAAGTTTAATAGTTCAGGCAAAAGAAGAATCTCAATTAGAGTGATGGAAATGGAGACAGAGAAGAGTTGATTTCAAAGACCAAGGTAGGTTACTAAAGACTAGTTGGAAAGAGGAGATGAGAAAGAGGAAAAGCCAAAGATGACGCCGAAGTCTTTAGATAGGTAACTTACTGGCTGTTGACACCAGTAATGAAAAGAATAATGACAAAGGAACAGATCTGGGATTGGGAAGGGTGACAAATACGTTCAGTTTTAGACATTACTGAAGCTGACTGCCATTAGTACATTAATGTGAAAATATCCAAGAGAGGACAGAGAAGTTTCAACTATAGAAAACATACTTGGGAGTTACTGGTGTATAGGCCAAAGTCACTGAAATAGGTGAGCTTGCTAAGGAAAAGAGGGCTGAAAATGAAACCCTAGGCAATCTGTGCATATAAATTCCTTTCTAACCACTTTTGGGAAAGTATTAAAGTTTAATGCAGCCTAAGATTTTAGAAAGAAGTAAAATATTGTTACAATTGCTTCTTGAATTTTTCAGTATCTATTTAAATTATAAAGATAAGGTTCAATTCCCATTTTTCATAATGAGTTATAATAAACTGTCTTAAAATTTACCTAAATAGGGTCAAAGATCAAGATTTAGAAAATGACTCTAATTTCTAGTGCAGAGGAATTAAAATTTAGAAATAAAAGTCACCTAGTTCAAATAGAAATTAGTCTTCCACTCCACTTATCCTTCCATTACTTCCACAAATCTGTACTGGAATGACTGGCAGGCACTGGAGTAGGGTCCTATGACAGAAACCTTAATAAGACACAGAACTTTTCCTCTAAGACTTTTCAGTTTAATGAGATAATTACAAAGACAACAATATGTGTTAAACACAGCAGGGGAACACAAAGAGAGATGAGACTTGGGAGCTGAAGAAGCCTTCACAGGTGGCTGATGCCTGATGGCTGAAGCCTTCACAGGTGCCTGAGATAAGCCTTGAAAGATAAGCCAAAGAAGGGCATTAAAAGCTGAGACAACAGCATAAGCAAAGACATGGCAGGATGAAAGACCATGATATCTTTGAGAAATAATTTGTAGTTTGGCTATTTGGGAAGCAAGGTAGGTTTGGATCAATTTGCTGAGGACTTTGTATGTCTTGTTACAAAGCTGGGAGTTCCTCTTCTAGTCAATGGAGGCTATGGTAGATTTTCAGGAAAGGGAATGAAAGCAAACAAGGTGAACTGGAGGAGAGAAAGACCAGAAACATTCTCCTCCTCACCCTTATTTCCCCAGCTTGGCCTAAAAACAAAAACTAGATTTTTTTTTTTTTTTTTTTGAGTTGGAGTCTCACTTTGTGGCCCAGACTGGAGTGCAGTGGCTGCTCCTGGCCACTGCAGCCTCGCCCTGCTGGGCTCTGGCGATCCTTCTGCCTCAGCCTTCCAAGTAGCTGGAACTACAGGCACACGCTACCACGCCCGGCTAATTTTTTGACTTATTGTAAAGATGAGGTCTCGCCAAGTTGCCCAGGCGGGTCTCGAACCCGCGGGCTCAGGCAATCCACTCACCTCAGCCTCCCAAAGCATGGGATTACAGGCTGAGCCACCGAGCCTGGCTAAATACTAGATTTTGATAAAAGAAAAATTAAATCCAGTTATCTTTTAGTCTCCATGAAAAATACAGATGAATAGAGCAGCACCTGGACTCTCGAAATGATTACAAATTTAATTTTGTATGTGTGAATATATGTGTGACACTAATTTTTATAACAGTCACAACAAGAAAAATGCCACATCAAAAATGTAAGCAAAAGTAAGATTCAGAGGAGCTGATGATCAATCATAATTTAGAGAAATGATTTAATTTAACAGGTATGTATGTACTGAGTCTATAATGTTGAGTAGAGGAGAGAAATGTGTCTGTCCCATTTCTGGTGTCTTGTTGCCCATTCAGTTTTCCTACTGGCTTACCTGACTCTTGAGGACAGGCAAGTAGATCCTGTTCATCTCTGACCTGCCCATTGCCTTAACACAACAGGTAATCAAAAAATTAGAGAGAAATAAATGAATGGAAGAATAGCATTTGAGCTAGCCCTTAAGGATGAGCAGGACATGTATATCCAATCAGAGAGACACTCTAAGCAAAGGAAGAATCATTTCCTATGCCTGGGGTTTCTCAACCTCAGCACTATTGACACTTTGAGCTGGATAATTCTTTGTTGGGGTGGAGATAAAGTTGCTGTTCTGTGTATAGTAGGATATTTAGTAGCATCCTTGGCCCCTATCCACTAGATGCCAGTAGCAACCCCATTCTCCCCTCATTGTGATAAACAAAATTATCTCTAGACATTGCCAAACGTCTCCATTCCCCTCTGTTGAGAACCACTGGTCTAGAGAAATAATATTTACTGAGTGACTATTAATATGTAAGGCTCTATGGTAGCTGCTAGGGGAATTTGCAAAATAAAAGACATATCCTTCTACTAAAAACCTAGAAATTATTATGTGTAAAAAATAGATGCGAAAAAATACTACCAGAATGCTAAGGGCAGGTGAAAGAAGAGGTAAGAAGAGAGTGCTGAGAGGGAATAAGATAGAGGAGAATCCTGGATGCCACCTAAAAAGATTTTTGAACAAAGGAATAATATGTTAAACAGAATTATATTATCTTAGAGGAAGCAGATTTAGAAAAATATAAATGTATCAGCATTTAATAATATGAATTTTGATAATAAAAACTTTCCTATCACCCTACACATTAAAGTTAAAACTTAATAGCATGTTACATAATAAATATATAAAGTACATGCTAATTATAATAATCAAAATATGTGGTACCTCAGGTGGTGGCAGTCTGATTGTGCAAGCTTCTATAATTAGACAAATTTGAGTTTCTGTTACATTGATGCCTAATACTGAAAATAAAATATTTAACTTTAGACTGGAATTGTTACTTTACCCTATCAAGTTAAGTATTTTACTAGCAAATTAAAATTAAGCACTTTACTAGCAAAAGAAATTAACTTATTCAAGTCAAAAACTAAGTTAAGAACAGACATTTCTCCCACACATGGTAAAATTCAAATAATCACCATTTAATATTTGATAGTCTACAGATGAGACATCTAAAAAATGGACAAAGGTATAAAACAGTATGAATATGGTGGGGGGAGGTCAAAGGACAAGGTTATAGTAAGAAAAATGAGACATCTCACAGTCAAGAGGAAAATCCAACAAATGCCTTATAAAAATCGTACATCTAATATATGTGAAAATATGGTTACTGTCTTCTGAAATCTGGAGAGGTTTCATGCCACGTTTCTTTTTTTTTTTTTTTGAGTTGGAATCTCACTCTGTCTCCCAGACTGGAGTGCAGTGGCCACTCTCAGCCATCGCAGCCTCGACCTGCTGGGCTGTGGTGATCCTTCCACCTCAGCCTTCCAAGTCGCTGGAACTACAGGTGTGCACCATCACACCTGGCTAATTTTTTGATTTATTGTAGAGATGAGGTCTCACCAAGTTGCCCAGGCAGGTCTCGGACCCATGGGCTCAGGCAATCCACTCACCTCAGCCTCCCAAGGCGCAGGATTACAGACTGAGCCACCGAGCCCGGCTACGTTTCTTTTACTAATAAATATCCTCAAAAACACTGGCAGATATATTCCAGATCTCCTGGAGCTCTGAAGTCTTCACCTTGCTTTTTCATAAAGAAAACTACTTTTGGCAAAATTTGGAAAGGAGTGGTATCTGAAAAAAGCATGAAGGGGTTTCTGGGGTACTGGTAATGTTTCTTGATCTGAGAACTGGTTACAGAGGTGTGTTTAGTTTGTTAAAACTTGATGACCTATATACACTTACAATTGTTCATTTTTCTGTGGTGTATGACATTTCTATAAAAGTAAAAAAAACCTAACACAGTGGTGAGGAAGTTTTCTCTCCTAAACTATTATCTTCAATCTCTACAGCTATAGTCTTGCGATAGTGTTTGGGGATGAAACTAGATTTTGGTAATGAGCCCATTTACTCAGAGCTAGAGCACAATGTCTTCCACTGCACAATGTAAATATCAAACTAGTGCAATGAGGGTAAACAATCTTTAGCTGGAAAGTCAACTCAGATCCAAAAGTTGCAGATTATGGGTCAGAATTTTAAGGCTATACTCAAATGATGGAGAAAGCTACCCTGATGGATTAATAATGTCTACTATGGGCTCTTGCCAAGGAATTAGACTAAGCTACATAGTAAAGTATATACTTTAGGTCATTTGTGTCTCTGCAGACTATCTTGCTTTTTTAAAGGAGAAAAAGAACTATATTTTTCTTATAAGAAATAAAGCTTTGACTTACATCAATACTAAATAATTTTTGAAGATATGATTCTGGAAACCACACATTATAAATGCCTGCAGAATTAAACTCCTTTGTAGCAATAATTCTCTTTAAGTAGAGAAAAATAAAAATATAGCTTTTTCTAATCAAGATGAGTATATTTAAAAAAACAAAACACAAAAAAAGACAAGTAAATTTTTCTCATATAGGTGGAATATGTATTTTAAACCAGAAGTGATTTTCCAGGTGAAATTCTGATTATGATAATAACTGATTATATTCTGATATAACCTAATCATCAAGATTATAACAACACAATTATTTGTAATGTTGATTTCTTTAACTGTTAATTATATTCATGTTTTATCTATTGACTTATGCATTTTTACTCACCAACAGCACTTTGCTTTCCCATCTGAGAAAGAAAATCTCTTCCTTAAAAAATTCATAGAATAAGCCATATTATAATTCATAATTAGGCTTGATAAATATAAACATGCTCAATGTGAAATTATCAAAGCTAAAAAATACTTTAAATCTGCAGTTGTTATACACAGAAATATCTAATGAAAATTCAGAGAAAGAGCATAATCGTTCAAAAAGTATCTATTCAATTAAAAGGACAGAAATACCTAATTCTTCCCTTAAATACTTATCTCTTGCTATAAAATACTTAGAAAACAGTCAGACCTCAATAAAAATTAATTCAGATTTTCAGTTCCAACAGTACTAGCAATTTATACTACTTTTTAACTTATATTTATTTCTAACTTGTATTTATTTTCTTAGTGTCAAGTACTATATAATAAAAAAACCAAAAGAAACCTCAGCAGAACTCTTATATAATATCAAAGTAAGGATATGACATGTTGTGGGTTTGTTTGAGAATGCTTAGCTGAGGCAGTTTTAAGAACTATTTCATAAAAATAATCTATCTATTATTATTGAATTAAGACAGATGTAAATTATAGAAGCAATCTAGTTCAGAAAGCCCCAATGACTGAAAGAGATAAAGTCACCTTGTACCAAGAGATGGCCAGTTCTATTCCAGGCTGGAGCAAGTCTAGTCGTGAGTGAATATGAAAGGCAGTTTTGAAGAATTATAGGAATTACTTTCTGTGGAGCTTCTATCTAAAAATATATATATATTGAAAGGAAAAATTGGGTGAATTTAAAGCAATTGCTATGTACTTTATAAACTCATACTAAATGACTATATATTTAGATAACCACCCAACAAACTGGGCTATTCTGGATAACAATTATTTTATAGACATTGATATAGCTTATCTTACCTGGTTCTGAAGTTTAAAATGTGTTAAAAGATATTCACTTCAAAACCACTACTACTGTCATGCTATCATGGCCAAATTCTACCTGCTTACTCAATAAACCTAAACCTTGAGAGCTCCTGTGTTAAGAACCTTCAGCTTTACTTTGTGTTCTGCTCCACACAGAGGACTCCAGACCAGGACTATCTTGTAATATTTTTCAATATCGTTCACTCTAGTCCAACATCAGAAAACAATTAAATACCTACATGGTCACACATGCAACCAAAAGAGTATCTCCATTTGTACAGAATTAATTTAATTTAATTTAATTTAACTTAACTTTTTTGAGTTAGATTCTTACTCTTTTGTCCAGGCTGGAGTGCAGTGGCACACTCACAGCCACCCCAGCTTCGACCTGCTGGGCTCAGGTGATCCTTCCATCTCAGCTTTCCAAGTAGCCGGAACAACAGGCACGTGCTACCACACCTGGCTAATTTATTTATTGTAGAGACGAGGTCTTGCCAAGTTGCCTAGGCTGGTCTTGAACCCACGGGCTCAGGTAATCCACTCGCCTTGGCCTCCTCTCCCAAAGTGCTGGGATTACAGGCTAAGCTACCGAGCCCGGCCAATTTTAAAAATTAATAGTTTTGGGCCTAAGACATCATGCATTATGCAAAAGTTATACAAATCACACACAAAGTTAACAGTTTCACTTTTGACCAATAGGTAATAGGAACCAGATTCATCCTGTCACCTGAAGGTCTAAAAACCTGGGTAAGTTATATGAAATAATGATTCACAAGATATTGGATACCAGGCAACAAAGAAGAGCAATCTCCAAAAGATGGGAAACTAACAAGATAAGCTCTAGGATTTGCCCAGTTTCTTGATTATAGAGGGTTTCCAGGATGGGTGCAGGGAGGGAGATCCCAGGAAGAGCCTGGTGGTGGTCTCCCTTAATTGAGAGAACTGAGAGACCATGGAGGCCAAGAAAGCTAGAGTTTTCAGGGCAAAGTACTAGAGAGGAAAGATCTGCACAGAGAGAAAACTCTGGAGATCAGCAGAGTCCCGGTCCCTCTTGAGCAGGCGTGAGCCTCCATGCCCGGCTAGTTTTGTTCTTTTCACCAAACTTCCAGAATGCTCAGCAGAGTCCTGGTCCCTCTTGAGCATTCAGCTGAGTATGGATTAACATAGGCATGTGAGGAAACAGCCAAGACTAGGGAAAGAGCCAAGGCTGTTTGCTATACAAACATCCTTGAAGGTATAGTCCAGGAAAAAAAACTGCCATTAACTCTGTGAGAAAGCCATGCGAAAAAGTAAGAGCACCAAGGAGAACTGTCTCCCAATATTATCCAGCCCTCATTTATACCATTTTGGCTTCTGGTGAATGCTTCCAGGACACAACTGAATAATCTGATGGCAGGGGATGGACCAAATCTGTTTAGTCTGTCTCACAGAGAATTTAATTAAGGGCTACTATCAATAGGACTCCAAGCAGCAAGATGAGGTTGATCTGCAATGTTGACCGCAAATATGAACACAGGGGCCCAGACCTAAGCAACTGAACAAATCCCATAAGCCACCAGGGTCTCCCTTAGAAAGTCAGAAGGCTTTTTCTTTAACTTCCCTATTGACTTTCTCCTTGTCTTGAGGAATTAATTGAGACACAGCAGGATATATCAGCACAGATTCAGTCTTGGCTTGCAAAGAATGAGCCTGGGGCAATTCTATCATTCACAACCATCCTGGTTGGTGACTGAATGCCTTGCAGGGCAAAGATAGTGTCATTTATCACTTCAGTTCAAGTTAAGAACAAATTATCTACCACTTTTTCTATTTGGGTGACACCCATCGTAGAAACAATTATTTACAGGGTGTGCATGAACAATACATTTGTTATCCCTCTAGGAAGTTCCCCCCAAGTAACCAAGGGTAGACTTATTTTGGAGAGGTCTCTGCAATTGGCTACTAGTAGAACTTTAAGGAGAAACTGACAAATCCACAATTACAGATAGATATTTTAATATTCTTCTCTTAATAACTGATACAAGTAAACAGAAATTAAGTGAGAATATAGTAGACCTAACAATACTACCTACCAATGTGCCCTAATTAAAATTTATGGAATACTTGACATATTTCTAGAATACACATTCTTCACAAGCAAATAAGGAGCATTTATTAAGGTAGACTGTATTCTGAACCGTAAACAAGTCTCAATGAATTTAAAAAGATTCAAGTTACACAGAACATGTTCTCTAACAACAATTAGAAATAGCAAAAAAGATCCCTAGAAAATCCCCAAACATTTAGAAACTACATAACATAGTTCAAAATAACCCATAGATAAAAAGAAGAAATCAAATGGGAATTAGAAAGTATTTTTGTAATCAATACTTTTTATTATGATATTTTGGGGTACAGTTAAGGGTTAGGTATACAAATATGCTTCGTTCAGGCACCCTTGTTGATAAGAGGTGTCTCCCTGTCCCCAGACAGATATTTACTACTGTTAATCCCATCTCCCTTCCCCTCCTCCCCCATAGCTTCCCACCACTGTCAGTCATTAGAAAGTATTTTTAACTGAAGAAAATCAAAACAAAATATGTGCTTAGGAGAAAACGTACAGTACTAAATGTAGTTATATTAGAAAAGAAGGAAATTCTCAAATCAATGACCTCAGCTTCCATATTAAGAAATTAGAAAAATTAAGAACAAACTAAACTCAAAGTAAGATGAAAGGAAAATAACAGACCAAAACAAAAGCCAATCAAATACAAAGCAGTAAAACAACAGAGAAAAATCAATGAAACGAAAAGCTTGTTCTTTGAGCAATCAACTAGATTGCTAAAACCCTAGCTGGAGTGATCAGAGAGGAAAAAGAAAGAAAGAAAAAAAGAAGTTACACATTACCAATATCATGAATGAGAGAGGTGACACTACTACAGCAAAGTAAAATAAAAAAATATTATAAGCAACTTTTTGCCAATGAATTTGACAACTTATATGAGATGAACATATTCCTTGAAATAGATAACTTGAATAGATCTATTGCATACTAAATTTACATTATAGTTAAAAACCTTCCCATAAGCTAAAGCCCAGATGGCTTTATAGGTAAATTTTACCAAACATTTATTTAAGAAACAACAAAAAGTCCAAACAAACTCTTTGAAAAACTTGAAAAGGTGGGGATTTGTTTCCTGCTATAAGATTTTTGAGGACAGAGACTTTATCTGGTTCACAGCTCTAGCCTCAAAATCAAGTAGAGTTCTTGGCCTATTATAGGCATTCAATAAAAAGCTGCTATAATTATGTGAAAAGCACCCATATTTTAAAAAGTTAAGCATAACATGAGGGTTCAATGAGGGTAGGAAAGCAAGTGATGTTGGACTAAAGCTTGTGATAACAAATAATTCAGGATCTGGAAGTCTGGTGAAAAGGACAAAACTAGCTGGGCATGGAGGCTCATGCCTGTAATCCCCAGTACTTTAGGAGGTGGAGGCGAGAGGATTGCCTGAGTCCAGAGGTTCAAGACCAGCCTGGGCTACTTGGCAAGACCTCGGCTCTATAGTAAATAATGATAACAAAAAAAATTAGCCGGCGTGGTAACACATGCCTGTGATTCCAGCTACTTGGAAAGTTGAAGTGGAAGGATCACCTGAGCCCAGTAGGTCGAGGCTGTGGTGCCCTCCAGTCTGGGTGACAAGGTGAGACTCCTACTCAAAAAAAGAGTAAAGGACAAAACTAGTTTACTTAGTAGGAATGAGAAATGGATAAGACTATAATTAGAAATATTTTAAATATTTTGGAGATGTGACATCTTGCACCAATGAAGTCAAAGGTGTGAAGTCATAGGATGGAAGAAAATACAGCACAAAGTACCTTTATTATTCTGTAGGAACCACGGGCAATATTTTTCTTAATTTTTCATTTTTCTTTTAATTTTGAAGTACATATAAAATGATGACACTTAGTATAAATATTGTTTTGCTAAATCAATACAGTAAGTCCTCAATGTCATTGATAGATTCTTGCAAACTACAACTTTAATCAAAACTATATACAACTAAACCAATTTTATCATAGGCTAGTTGATATAGATAAGAGCTAAGTACCTATAACATAGTTCTGGTCACAAAAACATCACCAAATTTCTAAATAAATGCCCAAAACATTTCTAATATTAAACAATGAAATAAATTTGAGCTATACATACATTATAGAAAGACCAATAAAAAACAAGTAAGATAATAATTTACCCAATTTTTGGCAAATCAGTGAGTTAGTAGTAGTCACAGTGTTAGTGGGTTAAATCATGGAATAAATGTTTCCAAGGAGAAAATTGTAAGAAGCACCTCCTACCACCACATCGTTAAAAAAACAATCAATCACAAACATGGCAAGTTTTCTGAGCACTTTTTATTGCATCATTTATTGCTGTGTATCTGTATAATTATTGTATACTTAATTAATTGATTATTATTATTATTATTATTTGAGTCGGAGTCTCACTCTGTCACCCAGACTGGAGTGCAGTGGCCGCTCCCAGCCACCGCAGTCTTGACTTGCTGGGTTCTGGGGATCCTTCCGCCTCAGCCTTCCAAGTAGCTGGAACTACAGGTGCGCACTACCACGCCCAGCTAATTGTTTTTTTCCTTGAGTTGGAGTCTCACTAGATGAGGTCTCGCCAAGTTGCCCAGGCGGGTCTCAAACCCGCGGGCTCAGGCAATTCACTCACCTAGGCCTCCCAAAGCGTGGGATTACAGGCTGAGGTACCGAGCCCGGCCGATTATTATTTTTTTGAGAGACAGAGTCTTGCTCTGTCACCCAGGTTGGAGTGCCCATAGTTCACTGCAGCGCTAACTACAAGCACATATTACCATGCCTGGCTAACTTTTTTTTTTCCTGTAGGGAAGGAGGTCTTGCTATGTTGCTCAGGCTGGTCTCAAATTATTGAGATCAAGCAATTCTCTTGCCTCAGCCTCCCAAAGCACTGGGATTACAGGCATGAGCCATTTTTTCATTCATTCATTCATTTTCCAGCCCTCTTATTTCAGTTCAGGGTAGCATAGCTGGAGCCTATCCCAGCAGCTCAGAGTGCAAGAAGGTGATCAGTCCTGGACATGATGTTGTTTCATTGCAGGGCACACTCATACATACCCACACTCGTTCACACCAAGACAATTTAGACACACCAATTCAACGAATATACATCTGCAGAAAACTCATACAGAACCCTGCGAAGTCCACAGACAATGACCTCAGCTGGGAATTGATTTTTTCCCTCCTCATCAACATTATAATGATACAATGTTAAACAAAATAATCTTATTGGAGGACCTGCTGTACTGAAATGTTACTTATTCTTTCATTCAGAATATAGCTATTTTGATAGTTAGGATCTTAAAAATCATATTGTATCTTTCTTTTTGTAACATTTATCATGGCCTTTGTCCAAAACTGATACAATTTTGACTTACAGATTCTATGGCAATACAATTTTTAAATCAATATATTAACAAGATTAAACTTTTCAAGAGCAGGCCAGTAAGACAGCAAGGGGGTTTCCACTAAGTGAGATATTTTCTACAATAAAGAATAGAATTTTGTAGAGATTGCTTAAGACTTACATCCTAGTTCTAGGTGAGTGATATGTTGTAAATCTGTTTCTCATAGTTCATAAATGGTCTTGCAAGATAGCCAGAACCCTTATATGACCAAGCACTTGTCTCAGTAAAAAGATTTAATTCTTCCTTATGGCTCCTAACAATACTACGTTCCCACAGATTGTTAACTGATGATTGAAACTAGTTATCAGGCCATTCAAATATTTCTTAGGGAACTGGAAAGCACCACCAGATATTATTGAAACCTTCATTCTTCTAGACTCTATAGGCAGCATCTTTAGAGATGACCGAAAACCTCACTATGCTGGACCTCACTTAATGTAGAAACAGACGCCAACAGTAATGGCTGGACAGGCTGCTAGACTACCCAATGATACGTGCCTCAGAGTTACATGCAGAGGCCTGAAAGGAGCTCTAGTCAAGGTTCCACACCTTGATTTACTGAGACACCAAAAGGTGTTCAACCCTCTGTATTTATTTTTTTCCTTGCAAAGATCCAGAAGCTCATCATCATGTAGAATACAATCTATAATGTTTTGTTCTCCTACATATTAGCTATATAACTGTGGACAATAATTTAATCTCTCTGGATTTCATTTTCTTCATCTGTAAAAATGGGGATGTTCACTTATTTGAAGATGCCTATGATAAATGAGATTATGCCATCTAAAATGCCTGAAATAAAGTATCCAACAAAAAAATAAGCCTCCCCCCTCACACTTTCTATACTAAATGTGCAAAAAATAACTAGAAAAAAATTGTTGGGCCCTTTCACATGTATAGCCATAACTTATGAAAAAGATACTCCAATTTTAATTTGATGATTAAGAAACTGAGCACAGCCACTGCCCTCCAGTCTGGGCGACAGAGACTCCAACTCAAAAAAAAAGAAAAAAGAAAAAGAAACTGAGCACATAAACAACATCTAGAATTATTATTCTTTTTAAGACTTACCTTAGCTCCACATTTTTCAATATAGTCATTAAGTTTTCCAGCTTTATAAAATGATATCTATAACCAAAAAATCGACATTTATAAAAAGGACTTAATGTAACTACATTATTAAATACTGGAACAGATAAAGATTGTAGGCATTGCATAACAGAGGACACAGGATCAGGCCAGTATCCTATCAGTTTTTATTTTTTGGAAAAGTGATGATCATTCTTTTTCTGAACTAGAATCTGTCAGTACAGTCTCAAGGTGAGGAAAGTCTTTCTGGGAGTGTCATGACCCCAGAAGCCATATAAAGGAAAAGGTCAATAAATTTCACAATATATATATATATGACCTTTCTTATACAACAAATTCTTAGACATGAATACAAAATGAACATAAATGGAAGATCGAGCTCAAAAAGCCTAAGTGCTCTAATTTACTAATTAAAGAAATACAAATTATAGGAAAGTATTATTTTTAACCTAAAAAACTGACAAATACTTAAAGGCTGTGAATATCTAGTGTTCATGAGAAAATGGAGAATGTTCTCTCATACACTAATTGGTAAAATATAATCCAGGAAAAGTTTTTCAGAGAGCAACTTAGCAGAATCTAGATTATAGTTTAAAATGTGTTACGGTGCACTTTTAAGTCCATAGAAACTAATCTGACAAATAAAAATGATTTAATTTCAGTGATGCTTTCTGAAATACTGTTTGTAATAGCACACAACCAGAAACTAAGATGTGCATTAGAAAGTATTAAATAAATTACTATACATGCATATAATTAATATACAATGAAATATTCCACAGCCTTAAAAATGAGGAAAATATATGTACTGATGTGAAATAAATCCAGGAAAGGCTGTTAAAGAGGAATTAAAAGGCAAGTTTCAAAATAGTATGCATAATAATCTCATTTTCTACTTTAAATATTTTTGTAAATAATTTTTACACAGTATAACTTTGTAAGAAAGCAAAATAAATTTTAAAAAAAGTTTTCTTTTATTATTGTTGCTAAAATTAGCATACTTGAATTTACTAGAACTCTAAAATAATGTCCTTGCTCCATAAAGACTTTTAAGTAGAAAAGGCTACAAATCAGAAGTATTAGTCTACTTATTTACCAACAGCTTGTCATTCTTAAAAACTACATTAAAAAGTTATAGGCCAAGTGCAGTGACTCAAGCTTATAATCCCAACACTTTGGGAGGCCGAGGTGAGAGGATTGCCTGAGCCTGCGGGTTCGAGACCAGACTGGGCAACGTGGTGAGACCTCATCTCTACAATAAAATAAAATTTAAAAAATTAGCCGGGTGTGGAAACGTGCGCCTGTAGTTCAGCTACTTGGAAGGCTGAGGTGGAAGAATCGCTGGAGCCCAGCAGGTTGACACTGGGGTGGCCGTGAGCGTGCCACTGCACTCCAGCCTGGGCAACAGAATGAGATTCCAACTCAAAAAAACCCCACAAAAGTTATAAGATGGACATACAACCAAGACTTAGAAGAAAAATAAGAGAAATAAAGCCTTTAGATGATTTATTAGCATTGCCAATAAATGCTGATTTCAATGGATTCTGGGGAATTAAAATTTAAAATAAAACAGAATTTTCAGAAAGATTTTTGACAAAAATCTTAGGATAATATGATTTTTAGAAAGTTTTTGGAATTTCATTATAATTCCCAGTTATATACAGTATCGAATAATATGTTTCTAATACTCATTTTAAGCGTAAAAATATTTTTAAATAAAATTTCCAAATGAAAAGAAACGCTAGTAAGGCATAGTGACTCATGCCTGCAATCCCAGCACTTTGGGATGCTGAAGCAGGAGAATTGCTTGAGCCCAGAAGTTGGAGATCAGCCAGGGCAACATAGCAAAACATCATCTCTACCAACAACAATAAAAAAATTAGCCAGGCACGGTGACGCATGCCTATAGTCCCAGCTACTTCGAGAAGTTGAGGCAGAAAGATCACCTGAGCCCGGGAAGTCGAGGCTGCGGTGAGCCACTATTGTATCACTGCTCGTCAGTTTGGTGACAGAGTGATTCTGACTCAAAAAAGTAAAATAAAGTAAAATAAGATAAAATAAAATAAAAATGTTGATCTAACGTCTTTAAAAATGGCTGGAGATTTTGTGAAATGAGAAACTACTTCCTTTTATTCTAAAGAATAAAATATGATAAAAGGTTTTAAGCCTATGCTATCTTAAAAAATTATACCATAATGTGTTTTATTCATTAATAGTCTTCATCATAGCATTTATGAAAGAGTAAACGAAATGTCCAATTAGAACCACAAAAATGAATTTTAAACATCAGGCATATCAAAGTTAAGTCTGTCAATATTTAATCAAACTGTAACAGAATGTGATGCATACTCATAAACCATATTCAATTGTAGCTATAGTACCCTAACTACTGTTTATTAATATTGCTCTAAATAATTAGTAAAAATATTTCATAAAATATTAAAATACTAACCGCCATTACCACCCAAATTTGGTTTACTAATCCAGCAACAGGTGACGTAAGAATATCTTGATGCAAAACCAGCAATTGCCTGTGGAAATGAAACGTATTACAAAGTGGACTTGCCCACACTCCATGTTTTCACTTTTTAGAACATTTTAAAAATTTGCTTAGTTAAAATTTTAAGTTTCTTCTAGGCAATGATTGTGTTATAGACTTCTGTCTCTCTCTCCACACTTGTCACAGTACCTTGAATAGTGCAGGTATAGCTACTTAGCCAACATTTTATTTATTTAATTAATTTATTTTTTGTGGGTTGTCTCCCTGCTCTCTTGATAGTTTCTTTGGCTTTGCAGAAGCTTTTCAGTTTGATGAGGTCCCACTTGTCCATTTTGTGTCTTATGGCATGGACTTTATTTTTTTAAACATATTTTTTATTATAAAATTGTGGGGTACAGTTAAGGGTTAGGTATACAAATGTGCATCGTTCAGGCACCCTTGTTAATAAGGGGTGTCTCCCCATCCCCAGACAGATATTGACTACTTAGTCCCACCTCCCATCCCCTCCCTGTCCCCCCCCATAGTTTCCCACCACTGTCAGTCCTTTTCTTATAGCATTATGGTAGATGTTCAAGGTCCACTATATGAGTGAGAACATGTGATACTCAGATCTTTGTTTCTGTGAGAGATCACTCAGTATTATAGACTCTAGTTCTATCCAGGTTGCTGCAAAAGTCATGATTTTGTTCTTTTTTATGGCTGCGTAGTATCCCATCATGTATATGTACCGCATTTTTTTAATGCAGTCCTCTTTTGATGAGCAGCATTGTTGGTTCCAGGTTCTTGCTATTGAGAACAATGCTGCAATAAACATTCGTGTGCAGGTATCTTTTTGATAGATTTGAGTTCTTCAGGGTATATTCCCAGTAGGGGGATTGCAGGGTCATATGGGAAGTCAATATTTAGAGCTTTTAGGAATCGCCACACTGCTTTCCACAGAGGTTGCACTAGTTTGCACTCCCACCAACAGTGTAAAAGTCTTCCCTTGTCCCCACACCCTTTCCAGCAACTGTTATTTTTTGAGTTATTGATAATGACCATTCTGACTGGAGTTAGGTGGTATCTCAGTGTGGTTTTGATTTGCATTTCCTTGATGTTTAGTGAGGTTGAACATTTCTTCATGTGTCTGTTGGCTGCTCGGATTTCTTCCTTTGAGAAATGTCTGTTCATATCTTTTGCCCACTTTATAATGGGGTTGTTTGTTTTTTTCCTCTCAGCATGTTTGAGTTTCTTGTAGATCCAAGATGCTAAGCCTTTGTCGGACCTGGAGTTGGCAAATACTTTTTCCCAGTCTGTGGGCTGTCTTCTTGCTCTCTTGATGGTTTCTTTGGCTTTGCAGAAGCTTGTCAGGTTAATGAGGTCCCACTTGTCTATCTTATCTCTTATGGCTGTGGGTTTCAGGTTTTGT